TAACTTTTGCAAACAGGTTCACTAACTTTTGCAAACAGGTTTGGCTGTTGTCTTTCACAATGGGGCACTTCAAGCTCAGCAGAGCAATGCTGTTTGCTGAACAGGTTACCTCTTGGATGTGACTCATGTCCAGCAGCATGCCTTGACACCATCCCAGCCTTGGGGAGGAGCTGAATAACAACACCTCCAAATGAAATTGCACCAAGGTGAAAAACAGAAATGATTTTTACAAATGTGCTGTTTAATGGATACAGAAGTCCTCTATCCCACGCTCTGAACTTTGGTTTTAAAAACCATCTACCTTCAATGAAAAAGTGCCCAAAATATCATGCCTTCATGTCTGAGCAGCAAAAATGAATGATAACAGATGTCTGCCCTTTCTAGGACTTGTTTGCATTGAATAGACATTAAATAGGAGGACTGAATCTGTGGCCTGCTGAAAGAGCTAAGCAGAAAATGGTGTTTCCCAGCACTCGTTAGCATAAAGTTGTCAGGTAAGTTCTATTAGTGTATGGAGAGAGATGGAGTTTCTTAAATTCGCCATCATACTAGCTCCACTAACCTCTAGAGCAAAGACAGAGCTTGTAGGAAACACAGTTTCCGGCGGATAGGGTGACTCAGGTTTGTATTAGTGGTGTCGTTACCTAATGGTGAGTTACCACTCCTGATGTCTTGCACAGATGCTGGGTGTTTTGAAGGAGGTCACGGCAGTATTTTTGGTGGTCCCAATAAGAATAATACTGATTTTATTTGGAGCAGGCCACGAACTGTGCATTTCTAGGAGCCATGGTTCTCCTCTTGTTTTACTGGTGCTGGGAGATGCTCCAACAAAGCCAACTGGTGCTGGCAAGGAGTGAGTGCTGGGCTGGCCCCCGCTGAGCCCAGCCCCAGGATGTATGCCAGCTGCCTACCCCTTCCCTGCTTGAACATCCCTCATCATGCTCACAGGCAAGTCCTCCCTCCCGCTGTGCTAAAGGCCTGAGATCCTTCCTAGGCAAAATGCTGGCAAACGTTCATCCATGATCTCATAGCTGCCCTGTGCTTGTCTGACATGAAGTGTGCAAAGAGACCATCCCAGGTGCCTGTGTTGCCTCGTTGCAAACGTGCCCAATCCTTTATACAAGCCGCCATGTAGAGTGGCCTCCTGCCCCACCAAAGTGCAGGGAAAGTTTCTAATGCCACTTTCTGGGAATATAAAATAACATCGTTCCTCCCCGCTGCCCAGATTCAACACCCTAAATGAGCTATTTGAAATGCCGAATGTTACAAAAAACACTTAAAAGCCCAGATTCCGCTGTACTGCCTTTAATGAGTAATCAAATAATAGATAATACAGAAGCAATAATGCTCAGTATCAGATTTTGTCTGACCTTTCCATGGAGGCTCGTATAATGTTTTATAAATAGACATAATTTAACTTTCAAGCACCTTCCTTCACCACCTGTGGGGACCCACGTATTCTTACTGTACCTGTTGCAAATCAGAAGCTGAAATCACAGGTCTGATGCAAAGCCCCACAGCTGCTGTTGACTTAAGCTGGTATCATGAAGGCTCAGTGTTTCTAAAAGATCAAGATTTCAACACGGCTTTCTTGAGGTCATACATACGACAACTGGTGTTGCCCAGAAATCCCACCCTGTAGGCTGCATGCTGCCTGGCTTCCTAGCGCTCTTCCAGCTGGCTTGGCAGATATTAGCCAAGGGAAACCAATGACATCTGTGGCCTTCAGGCTAGGTCTCCAAGTTGTCCTCTAACTTTGACTTCCAGGGAGCACAGCACAACATTGTGCTGGTAATTGCTGAAGTTGTTCTTCATTTTTAAAATATTACTTTTTGCTCTATAAGCTTGAAACTGTTTAGTTTTTTCCAATGGGGGGAAAAAAATCCCTTCATTTTCATTAGTTATAATAAGGAAAATGGAACGTTTTGTGACAGTTCCTAAGAGAGAGAGAGAAAAAAAGGACTTTCAGTGCGAAGAAGAAAAACCTGAATGCTTTCTGATCAGCACTCACATTATTTTCCTTTAATCCTACTTCTTGACGTCCTGCTGTAAAATCAAGACAAGCTAAGAATTCCTCCCCACATTTACTGTCACCTCTGAGGTCCAGGGGGTGCACGGTGCTAATCTGGGAGAAAAACCAACAATAGCAGCTCTATAGATTAAAGACCGCTTTTACATCTGGCGATCATACAGACTGCTAGCAAATTAAGCACCTTCCCACTCCAGGGCTGGTGGTGTAACTTCTGCCCCCGAGAGATAAATGGAAGATTTCTCTGGGCTGTGAAACGTGAGGATGCTGCAGAAGGCTCACCTCAGCCACGGTAGCACATGCCTTTAATCTGTGCGTTGTTCTCTGCACGGCGGCTAGGAGCTATCATTACAACCTAATTTCTCTCCTTCAGTCAAACAAAATGAACAAGCAGAAGCTAGGGGGATATAAAACACCGTGGCAGGCAGGGGAGGGAGAGTGTGCTGAAACCTCTGACAGTGATGGCTCTCCTCTCTCACCACCTCTTCCCGGGAGGACTTTGGCTCCCTTTATACTTCAGCACTTGGACAAGCTTCCCTTAATCGCGAGTGTGCCCAGGAGACTGCCTTCGTCATGGCAATAAGGCTGGAACGCGTGTAGCAGCCCTTGCCACCTGCCCGGCTCCTGGCCCTGGCACAGCTGTGGCCAGGAGGGCGGCTTGGTCCTCCAGCCCCACCTGCCACAGCTGCTTCCCTTCAAATGTGAATTTAGCATCCCTGAGAGATGCAGGTCTCACAGTCCTGGAGCCAGCTGCTCCCGCCTAGAGAAACCACAGGGGGTGGAAGAAGTAGTGATGGGGAGGTCTAGGGACAAGCTCTCTGTGTTCCCTCGTCCCCACTAGATCCTTCAAGGCCACCTTTACAGCTGCTTATCCTCCCCCCCTCCACCCCCCCCCAAGCAGTTATTCATCCTGTGATAGTGGTACCAAACATGGGCGGCAGGTTGGGATGCTTGAATGCTTTTGTTATGGATATAAACTTTTTTGTTTTTTTGGTTCACATTCATCTGCAGGGCTTGGATTGAGAGCCCCTAATCTCAGCTCTAACAGGCAGTAAGATACCTTCAGCCTTTCCAAGGCACCGCGAGGGACTGTGCTGGTCAGAGGGATGGATGTGGCAGGTGTGTACGTCACCATGCCTCAGTGCTGCTCCTGCATTGCCTTGCTCTCCGTCTGGCTGCTCTCAGCCTCTTGAGAGCTCCCATCACTTTGGCCTCCCAGGGAACCATTTTGTTATCCAGAGATTTTAGATCTCAGGGAAGGCTTGATCTTTTCTCTTGGATGCTTCCAAGTGTAAGGTGTCTGACAGGATAGGCAAGAGCCGGTCCTGCTCTTCACCATGATCTTCTCACAGATTTCATGCCATGGGAGGGCTCCACTGCATTAGGCTGCTCCTACTCTGCTTTCAGGCTGGAAGATTATTTGCGATCTGCTAGGCTTACTCGCAAAGCCTAAGGTATGTGACCTAAGGAATATATGTTCTTTCGAGTACCCCCGCCATGTGGGCAATAATGTCTTCTGTTTCTCTCTGCATGGTAGGCAGCTAAAACTTGAGGAATGCTTTGGGAGATGCATGCATCAACTAGTTGAGTTATTTAGGCTGTCGAGCTGACATATTTACTCTCTGTCTTGAAGGCATTGTTTTTAAATATATAAGAATACTGGTTGTACAATAATTTTTCATCTTGCACTACAAACCTTGTTACAGAGCTGTTTCAGTGGCAGTGTTAGGTCTGGTGCTGGGTGGCACTGAATCTATTATATGGTATATAAAGCAAAGAATTAATATTTCCTTGACTGAAAAGCTGTATGTGTGTGTTGTTTAATTAGTATCAGCTCATGAGGATATTTGTCTCCAGGGGAATGACCATGGGTTGGTTCCCTGCTATCTTTGAGTTCCCTGAGGCAATATAATTTCCTTGAGGTGCTACAACAAGGCTCCTTTCATGGTGGTAAGAGGAAGGCAGGCTTTAATTTATATCTCAGAATAATTTGACCTTAGGTTCCGAACAAACAGCACAGTCAGGCCATAGGGCTACAGAAAAGCCCTGCGGCACGTGCATTTGGCAGGCCAGCTGGGCCTTGGGCTTCATAGAGGTTTCCTGAGGGGCAGGTCTCTGATTGCCAGGCACTTCCACCAGGATGTGAACTGAGCGAGAGACAGGACGAGGCCCAGAGAGCCTCTAAATGTCACTGCCAGGCAGTGGAAACTGGACCCAGAGCCCTAGCCGGCTGGGGATGCCTGGCCCAGGGCTGGTGGCATAGCTGTCCACGCAGCTGGCAGCCGGCACCCAGGGCAGGCAGGGGCCCTCCCTGCCAGATATAAGTGGAGGACGTTGGTAAATCTGCTCTGAAGAGTTTGGTGCCTTCCCTGTCTACCAAGGCACCTGCCCCTCTCCAGGGCTGAAGAAGAACAGCTCTTGCAGGGTGGAACTAACTGGAGGAGCAACCAAGGATTGCAGCATAAGGTATTTAAGGTAAGGAACTGCCAGGTAACAGTACTGTGTTTCAGTTCCAGCACAGCAGCAAAAAGATCCTAAAGAGAAGTGGTAAGGCCAGGTAGAGATAATTTGAAACACAGCTGGTCCCCGCAACGCTAGAAAAATGCCAAGCTGGCCCACATTTGCTTGTGCTTCTGCATGGCCTAGGTACCTGAATATGGGGGGTCATTCTTGACTAACTTGCACCTGCCTTCCTGAGTTTGGGGTACTAGGAGAAGGAGAGCAAAAAGGTTACCACTGCAAGCAGCAGCAAGAGCTGAGAGTTTATTGGGCTCACATGTATCCCTCTGGGCTGCTCACACACACACACACAAACACATATCAGTCCAATACTGTTACTCCCTTGCCTGAGAGATACCTGTGACCAAGTAGCCCATGATTAGGGCATTTGCTGTTGGAGTGGACTGGCTGGTCCCTGCTTCAAGACTGCATTACGTTAAAAAAAAAAAAATAGTGCCTGCCATGTGGTGCTTCAAGATTGCTGTGGTTCTTTTATTGTTTAAAACAAAAAACAGCATTAGCATTAATAATTAGTTCACATTTTAAAGGCTTGCTTCACTTTATAACAAAACAGTGGAAATATCTGGGCTGTTATCCATCATCTTGGACATGCTGTGACAACCCCATGGGATCTAGCAAAACCAGGCTGACTGAAGTGACCTGGATAAAGTTGCCCATTACAGGGTGGATCCTGGAAAGCGGCTGGAGGCAGGAAATGATCTGCAAGCAGCAGCCCCTGGTTAACAGCCAGGGAGGAACCCCCTCTTCCCTCCTCTCAGCTGAGAAGGAAGTTTGGAATAACGTACTCTCTTTTTGTCTGGAAAAGTGAATCTATATAAATTGTAATAGTTTCACTGTGAGACATCTAGAGCACTGCTCCTTTGAGTAACCTGTAGGGACACCCAAAGGTGGTGGTGGCAGGGACAAATCCTCTGGTGCCTCTGCCTTCTGGGAAAGCCTGCACGCAGGCCACCCGCTCCTACAACACGCATAGGATCAGGCCCTGTAGGCAAGACAAGTGGAGGGGCTCCTTCTCTGTCTGCTCTGAGATGACTTAGGCATGGTTTCTGCTGGGCGGCTCCAGATATCAGACCTCCAGGACCCAGGCAGGGAACACCAGGATTTCAGGATCTGCATTCAAAGGTAGGTGCTTGCAGGGTTAGCTGTGGACACTTAGGCACCAAAGCCCCTTTGACACTAATGGTTTCCTTGGATCCCACCTAATTTCACCAGCTATTTTTCGCATCTCCAACCCTAAGGAGTTCGGCTCCACTAGTCTCATCTACTTCAGTATAATCTTACCCTCTTGAGGTTCTTAACCTCATGAAGATTTCAAAATAAAGCATTTGTTTGAAGTCCCTTTCTCTGATTTCCACTAGGGGACATTCTTAGGCCTTCTCAAACTTGTGTCCCCAAGGACTAGAAGCTGTTTTTCATTAAAAAAAATAGAGCAGATATTATCATAATTCTTAGAGATAATATCCAAAAATGTCAGAAACCTAACAGGGGCTGCACTAAAATTTCAGAGTTAACAAACACAGATGAAGGTACGTAGAGATTTTAAAAGGGTGACCATAAAGCTGGCCTTCACAGCTTAATCACATAAAGTTATCTGAGGCATGGAAGTTTTCTCTCTTTATGTACCACACAGTTGATCTGAGCTGCCTTTATTTTTAATATTGGCTGCTGTGTTTGCAAACTGTATTAAACTTGTTGTTGCTTTTGGAAATAATAGTCACATTTGGCCAGTATTATGGCCAAATCATTGTTTTTCTCCCTATTGACCTCTTTTTTTTTCAGGCTACTAAACACCCTTGACTTTGCTTGTGGGATGGTTAATCAACAAGTCTGTCACAATGATGGATTCCTCCTGAATTGTTGCTTAATTAGCTTGGCTGGAAGTATAAATCAAGTGGAATACCAATTCTTCTAAAGCTACAGACAGGCAGCCATGCTCGGCTTGACAACAGTGAGTTATTACTTTCTGCCACAGTGCAATATCAGCATGCAGGCTCCAACCCACAAACCCAAAGGGACTGCGGGTTCATCCTGAAGACCCCTGGCTACAGAGACCAAAGTCCACACATAGTACCAAGCATAAGAGCCAGCCTTACATTAATGGCAGTGCAAGGGCATGAAGGTCAGCTTGATGCAGCCCAGAGATGGACCCTGGCGAGCAGCATCCACAGCTGCAATGTTTCAAAATCCCAGTTGTTCCCATCTTCATATTAAGTATCTAAATGTCTTTGAAAATCTGGGAGATAGGTTTATGAAAGCTACGATAAACTACTTTTTTAAACATGTGTAGGCTGATTTGGAAATTTCAGCCCTGTACATCAGTGATGTTTCTCACATGGGATGTGTGGTGTCTGCTGCTGGATTTTTTAATAAAGTAGAAATATGTCAGCCCGTGGCAAGACCAAGTTATCAGAGGCAAGGATCTTTGTCTCATGACAGGCAGAATTACCTTCCATAGAAATGCAATTATGCATGATAACAAAAGGAAAAGTAATATATTGTGTGCAAATTAGGATCTTTAAGACAGATCTTAATGCACTCATCTTAAGATTCAACAGCTTGCTTACTATTGTTATAGATAGGACTTTCAAGCAACAAAAACGTGTTTAGGCTTGTTGACTTGAACTGAATTACACAACTTACCTGGCAGGGTAAGAACCCATGGTGAATTCTGTGTAGCTGCAAATAGCTTGTTCCCAGCAGCTTTAAGCCAGCTTGAGCATCCCTGTACTGCATGACAGTACGTTGTACAAAAGTAGTTTCACATTTCTACCTACACTTTTTGAAATCCTAGGCTAAATTAAACAAGCATACTTCTCTGAAACAAATTTGCTAATATGCCTTTTTAGCAAAGCATATTTATTTTTCCATGACCGCCTGTTTTAATTGTCTTTTTTCTTTATCAACTGTTTTTTATTTTCAGACACCTTTCTTAACATTTTGGATTTCAGTTGGATTGCATAAGTCACACTTTGGAAAAAGAATTGGTTTGCTTAGAAATGACTGAAAACTATTGAAATTGTCTGATTTTGCTGATTTTTCCCTTTCCGCCTTCCCCACGTTTTCTGTTAAAGTTTGAAATTACAGCTTATGTAAGACCTCCTTATGTGAGTAATGTTCCGCAAGCTGCAGCACGTGGACACTGCATCTGACTGATCATAGCCTAACAGAGAGGCAGGGCCCTTCTTTGTCTTCTAACAGAGCTGTTGATCCAGCATGTAATGTCTCACTGCCAAATGAGCAAATCTGTTGCTTATATGTGGAAGGCATGATGGAAACTTGTGCTGTAGGTTGTGGAATGAATGATATTTCCATGACAACCCTGAATGGCTTTCATCCATTGACATTTGCATCCTTCTCTTTGGCATTTTTCACAAATAGTTTTCAGGGATTTTTTTTCTTAGTAGTTGAGTGGAATAAATCACTAGGTTTGCTTTTATCATCATGATAAAAGTATGAAAGCAGAGTTTGTGTATGGGCTACAAAAAGGTTATAGTTATTTAGCAGATTTAAGTTAAACAAGAAATATATCTGAAGAAGCGCTACAGCTTTAAAGACATCAGGACAGAGAAAGAGAATACAGTTCTGATAAATAAGAACTGACTGGGAAGAGACAAGTTTATCTGCTGGAAATCAAAAAAAGCCTAATTAACAATCCATTCTGCATGTCTAATACTCCTCTTCATTGCCATGGCAAATGAAATGTAATCTCTGCAGCTGATAAACTTTAAATATGGACAAGATACTTTTCTAATAAAAAGCAACAGACATTGCAAAGCCCTGGTGTTATTTAAGATCGCCGATTAATTTCTTCAATCTTTTTCTAGCATTTAGAAATGGGGCTATGTCATAATTGTTTTTGTTACCTGAGCAATAGACACTCTTTACAAATAAAAGGCCGGATTCTGTTCTTACTTGCAACAGAGTTAGTGGAGCTGTTCCTGGCTTCCATGCGTTAGCCAGGAGAATCTGCCATATTCTTTACATGAGGATGAGAGAAGGAGCTGACAGTTAGCATTTCCAGCCTGCCTGAACCCATTAAGTACAGTTAGGTACTCCTAGTTTTCCCATGGATCTATTTCTTTGTCTCCATCCTCTCTCTCTAGACCGATTCCCGTTTGCCTGAGATGCAATCCCTATCCAGACATCTGAATACCGTCAAGTATAAGCAAATGTCCACAAGAAAATCCAGTTCACCCCTTCACAGTGTTTGTTTTTTCGAGATCCCCATTGATGGCTCTTGAATGGAACAGCCTTGGGCTGCGTCCTGCCGAGAAGCACAAAGGCACCTAAAACAGACACAAGGAGTCGCTCAGAACATAGATAGCTAGAGGTCAACCTTCAGAAATCATTAATGAGAAAAAATTCTTTCTAACAGAACTTAGGCCCTGCTAAACACTGCTGTTGTTGCCTCCTATTTCCCGTATTATGGCTAGAGAGCAGGCCCTCTGGGAAAACAAACATGCAACATCCTAAGGACTTTTTCTCTGTGCTGGCACTACGGAAAGGCCATCCCACACCACCCTGGGTTGAATGACTGTGAAGCTGCTTGTCCCTGCCTGCTAGCACAGTAGGTATTGTATGCTCCCAGGTACACCAGAGCACCAGCCTTTCCCAAGGAGTCAGATTGACTCGCTGTGATCTTCATGCCATCGTGAGAATTTCAAGAAGTTGGGAAGCCAAAGAAATGTTTGAAAGCTCCAAACGTTTGATGAGTGTTAACTCCCGCTGTGCTTTCCCACATCATTCATGATTTGTTAGGCTCCAATTTAAAGAGTTTCAATTCTCTGAGGGACATGTACTGTAACTGCCCAGTCACTGGCTGAAAGCAACTGGTGAATTGCTCAAGTGAGCTGCTTATGAACACCCTACAGGCAGAATTTCATTCAAAACTGTTAAGTGAAAATTATGATTAATGATATATTTGCAGAAGTTATGATCAGTTTATGAATGATTCATGAAAGGAAAAAGGCAATCAGACTATGAATATCATTTGCAAGCAATAATTGAAAGCAACTTCATCCCCCAAGACAAGGTCCTTCTAGTCTTATATTTATCTAATGATATACTGTGATGCAAAGGGCTGGGGCTGTGTTGTCAATAACTGCTTTCTATACAACATCAACACATCAAAATACAGGTAAAGCGAAGGTCCACTATCCAAGGCTCACTTCCTGGGAATGTAAAGGGTGGACTTTTGAACAAGGAGCATGCTCATGACAGTGATGAGTGATGAAGCCCAGCTCCTGCTAGAGACAGGCATAATGATTCCACCAGCAGCCAGGCAAGGGATGAGGCTTCCCAGCTCTCATTCAGTGCTGCAGAGACTGACAGACTCACAATCAGGTGTGAGCGGCCGGAGGTGCAGCAGCCCAGCATCAGAGCAAGCAGCTGGGCGTTAGTATTGTCCCTGAACCAGAGGGGGAGAGGCAAAGAGCCATCCTTGCCTTGGGTCTGAATCCACGGTGCTTTCTCCTAGGAGGAGTGTAATTTACACCTTCACTCTGTATTTTAGCTGGTGTCCAATGTTATCTGCCTTCAGAAACAGGATGTGTGGTACCAGAGACCCTAAATTTTATTTATTATTATAATTCCTATCTATAGAAAAGCTTATCTGGATGCAGCCCCTGGGTTTTAGTGAAGCTCTTGGGACTTTTTGTTTTTCACTCACTTTTCCAGCCTGGTTAATAAGAAAGCACATGACTTTTCCCCAAGGGCATTCAGTGAGTTAGTAGGGGTCAACCACCACATGACTCCAGGAGACTTCTGGTTCTTCACTGCACCTTTTTTTCCAAAGAGTTGCGTCCTTCCCTGTTTTCTCTTTGGTACCCACTAGCTGTGGCAAGGGCTCTTGCTTTATCGTTGCCGCTGCGAACATCCGTCTCCCAGGGGTTAGAGGAAGCACAATGGCTGAGATGGCTTAAGGGTATATAAACAGGGCAACGTTTGTAAGAATGGATAGAGTCATTTGTTAGAACTGTTAAAGTTGTAGAGTCCAGGGAAGCATTGGGTCACACAAGTCCTTATCGAGGTCTGACCCAGAAGTACCAAACATCAAACCAAGCACACACTAGGGACTTAAACTAAAGTTGAACTAAATTATTTATTTAAACAATATGAAATCAGACTGACTGAACAAGAAATCTCAGAGACTTCACATACCACACTGACCCTACCTTTAAGATTACTGCTGCTATGTAAGACATGCAGGAGTACTTCTGTCCCTCAGCGGCAGAATAAAGTGACAGAAAAATGACAAGAGATACTCACTGCCCACTTTCCTTTGCAGCTACCCTCCAGCTGAACCTCTAACCTTCCCCATTCTCCAAATCCTAACCCTGAAAATTACTTTTACCTCTGCCGGAACCCTCACCAAAGAGATACCACTATGGTCCCAGTAATAACATCTTCAAAGACGAGGTCTCTTAGAGTCCTCGCTTCCCTTTGGCACCCCCTGTCCAAATGCATTTCTAGCATTGGCCTTTCTCATCCTCCCAACCCAAACCCTGATCCTACCCCAAACCCTAACCCAAACCAGAGCAGCAACCTCTGTCTGAGCCTCAACAAGGCCCACAAGCCATTCTCCCAGTAAAGAGAGGCTCACAGACCAGATCTCTTGACAGCCTTCACCTCCTCTTGGCAGCTCATCTAGCCTTCCTCTTTCCCCCAGCCCTTACCTTAATCCCTGAATTCAATTTTTAGATGTATATGAAATTTCACTGAGGGACACCAGCCATATTTCAAATATATAGTTGTCACAGCCCTCCCTGCCCTTTGGCAGCCTCTGTTCTCCACACTCTAAGGAGTGCTCTAGCTTTTTTTTTTTTTTTCTTCTTCTTTTTCCTTATCCTGAATCTCTAATTAAAATCCTTAAAAATAATGGTAGCTTCATCGTTAGCATTGCTAAAGGATCCCCATCCATTGTCCAGATGGAAAGCTTCTCATAGCCTGTTTCTGTTTTTTGTCCTCACTTATCTTTGGCAGCCCTCATCCATCCCCACTCCATGTGCAGTGCCAGGCTTCCTCTTTCTCTTAAAAATAACCACCATCCCAGGGTGAGCCTTCTGTATAGCCCCTCAGCCAGGTTCATTGTTGCTGCTGTGCAGAAAACCCTCTGTGCTAAGCGTGCATAGTAGTAAGATTTCTTACCAGCCTTGTTGAGCCTTGGCATTCCTTTAGGAGTACATGACAAGAGTCAGCCACTACAAAAAGGAGAAGAAAGGGTGCACGTGACATTACAGTGATGCTTTAGGTATGTATCTCAGTACCTTCAGGCTGAGACACAGTACTGTGGTATTGTGGTTCTGCACAGGATGAGTAAGGGGTTCTGAAACTGCTTTCCTCACTACAATTCAGACCCAAAAAACATTTTCCATATGTTACATCCGAAGATATGTTATTACAGTAGCTGGAACAAGAGCAGGCACTGGAAAAGGAGACCGTCTGCACGCTTATGAACGGAAGGGATGGCAGACCCTGGGAATGTGATTATCCTACAGACTACCCCATAAAACAGGTTCAGAGTCTCTGCATGGAAAGCGTCCTCGGCTCTTGGTGCATCAAAGTAGTAATGAATGCAGAGCCACACTGCTGAACTAAACACAGTCTAAACAGCAGCTAGCAAAACTGTAGAAGTTTTTTTTAAAAAAAAAACCCTTATTTTTAAATATTGTGTTGTCTAGGCTGATAAAATGCAGCACTTGGGAATATTACTATGGTGCACAGCAGGATTTTTGTTTCAGACTAGCAGACAGAAAGCTTGATGTATCCTCATTCTGCTAGCTATCCTTCAGGCTGTGCTTTTAAGACAAACAGCAGCAGCAATCGTTTGTCTGCTATTTCTTTCTTTTAAAACCAAGATGTTCCACAATCCTAAATTAACAGATGGGCAGTAAGAAACGAGGGTATTGAACTGTTTTGTCAGTTCCTTAAAGTCGCTGGAACCACAGCAATAAGAAGGTTGCCACAGGTGAGAGAAGGCTTTATGCTTTAGACACAGATAGGCACAGTCCCTGGCCACTGCCAAGTTGTATGCACTCCAGTGAGTCCTTGTGATGTGGACTGGGAGGTCCCAGGGAGAGACCTCCCCTCTGCCCATTGTGCACTTCCAGCCAGATGAAACCCTGGCCGCTGTCGGTGTCAGTGGCCATTCCCCCAGCAACATCCCTGGTACTAGCACTTCACTGCTCCCACTAACCTCCTCGGTCATCCTGCTTTGGATCTGGAGAGAGGAAAGAAGCAGCCAAGTAGACAGGTGAGAAGAGACACTGAAGGAAGGAGCATCCTTACCTCCACTGCGGTCATCGAAAGCTGTGGTCCACCCTCTGCTAGGTTTTGAAATGCATCTAGGGGTAGAGCAAAGAAAAGCCTATGTCATTAGGAGGAAGCAAGGATGTAACACCCACATGAAGCTGCTGCTGCCTGGGAGCGGAGCGGCTGCCCCTGCAGTGTGGAGCCAGGAGGCTCTGCAGAGCTTGGGTGTTCACATACGCTGTCTAACCACATCCCATTTCTGTGCTGGGGTAGCCCCTACCCCTCTCTGCCTTTGCCCTGGGATCACAGCCTGGAAAGGTGCCATGGGACCGTGACAAGGCATCCCAGTTGCAGGGCCAGGATCCGAGCACGCCACAAAACTTCCCTTCCCCACGCTTTAGCCAATGCAACCAGTTGCATCCACTCTCATAATTTGTTGCAATAGTTCCTCATGCCTGAAGAGCGACAGGAGAAAGGAAAATTAATGAAACACGTTTTCCCCACAGGGAAGCTTTCTGTTGGTCCTTTTCCATCCTCCCTGGCAGTGAGAGAGCACAGTGTGTCCTAAAGAGAGTGGTGCTCTTGAAATCATTAGTATGTCTTGCAAGCTTCTACTAGGGAATACGAATGCAGATGCTGCTGTTATTCATCTAGACTTTGAAATTATCATTGTTGAAAGTTTTCTGACAGACTGTTTCACAGTCAGAAAATTCAAATCCATTCAAATACTGATATTCTATGAGCACATTTCTATTTCAGTTTGTCTAGGAGAAGTGTTCAAATTCAAGTGTTTGGATAAAGTTGAAACACAATGTTTTGAGTTCTTTTTATTTGTTTTGAAATTACTTTTCTCTTGGAAATGTGCTGTTATAAACAGTAATAAAAAGTAGAACCAAATTGCAGTCTCTCTATCCTAGAATGAAACATTTCTGCGGGCTCATCAGGCTCCTCTCCAGGATCCTGTTTCCCGCTCTGAATGGAAAAGGCATTGTAAGATCATGAACATTTCAACACTTGCTTGGCTCTAAACAAAAGTGCAATGCTGGCTGGAAGGTGTCAGGCCAGAATACCACAGCCCACTACTCATTGGGCCCTTAGGACAAGAAAGTTTCCTGTGCTCACAGTCAATAGAGCTACATATGTAAATAAAAAATAAAAAAAAAGCAGAGCTGAAAGGAGGT